TGAGCAGTATTAGGCATAAAATTGACAACTTACTGCGAAACGGCAAATAAAAGGCACTTTTACTTACTTTTGTCATTAATATATTGTCGTCTACATTTATATTTTTACTGACATAATTATTATTGTGTTATGGTAACTATTTTCCTCCTTATTACGTAATGTAAAGGAAAATTTAGAAAGCCCTATAGTGTATAAACTTTACTTTTTGGAACACGGCCATTGTTACTTTTCAACTATAGTGTGTGACATTGAATGATTCTTCCGTTAGCTTCAATCGTCTGCAGAAAGACTGTTGTTCGTATGATGTGAGTAAATAAATCACCTCATTTCATACTACTTATTTTTAATCAGTAGTATATCTATTACACAATCATTTATAAATTGCTGACACTGAGCTACTTAGTGTCCTTTTTTCCATTGTTATTCATATCCCCTTATTCATTCTAATTGTAGATTCTGAAGGCAAAGTTATAGGAGTTGCATATTTACGTTTACAACCGAGTACATCTGTACCTGTGCTGATACCCGATGGAGATTATCACTTGTATATACATAAGGTTTGTGTAAATATTTTGTTGACATTGTTTTTGTTACCTTGAGGATTAACCACTAGTTGTCAATTATGAAGAATGTTTTTGTTGATGTTTTGTTTAATTTGTTCTCTAAGTTGGATTTTTTTATTTGTAAATATTCAGTCGGATACTATCAATAAGACAATTCTTCGGAAAACTGAATTATATTTTGTTGATTAGCACTGGATTACTGATAAATTTGTCCACATATATTTGACTGGACTGATAGAGGTTGGAAGAGCTTGGGCATCTAGGTCATCTCTTATAGGTTGTAATTATTCCTTATTAATTTTATTTATTTATGATTCATCATCGTATGTATACATATATACAAATCTGGTGTGAATAGCTATAAAAGACAAATTATTTCCGGTGATGATATATACATCGAAATAATAATTATAATATGTAAATCAATAATTTCTACGCCGAATTGTTGTTTTGAATAATATTAACAATATGCTTAGCTCTACTAATCTAGTTGATATGCTCTGGTTAGTAATTAGAGGGATTAATAAAAATAATGACATGCGAATGAGAGGAAATAATTGTAGCTAAATAAAATTAGCAAAGTAATTGTCTAATTGCTTAGAATATATATATATATATATATATATTAAACTGCTTATTTGACTTTTCCTACGATATGTTGTCGTCTGTTATTGCTGATTACAATAAGTATTGAATCATATTGTCAAGCTTCGTTTATTGGGATGGTTAAGGCGCGTGTTTCTTGTTGAGCAATCTTAGTTGACACAAGATTAGGCTGGAAAGGAGTTAGGGTTAGTTGGATCGAAACGTGGCATTAATGTATGAAATCTTTGACACTATTGGTTTGAGTCAGGTAGGTAGGTAGGTAAGTATGTGCAGAGTGCCTGGCTGTGGTCCTCGAGACTCTAAGAATCATTGTCTGGAAACTGTTGGTGGTATGACTCAAAAGTGTTCTGTATGGCGGAGATGCATTCACTCTTTGTTATCTCCTAGATCTATTAAATCGTCATTATTCTCCACGTAATTATTCTTTGAGCCTTACATTTCTGTTCATTGTAATTTCCTACTTTGTGGCAACTTGAACCACTGCATTTCTGTGCGAAGTACTACGCTGAAAACTCAGTCAATGAATTCGTTTTCAAGTTGTTTGTTTTCTTTTCACAGTGAATTCGAACCCGGTAAACTGTCACATTACTTGCTTTCATATCTTCACTGTAGTACACTTAAATATTAGAAAATCAAACAAATGATTCGGCGAAGAGACTCTTTTCAGTCAATTGATTATCAAGCTCTACAATCTTAAATGTTATTTTTAAAGAAATTAAATCCTATGCGGAAATTGAAACAAAGCTGTGAATATATAAAATAATAATAGTATGAAATGTAATTAAAATGTTTGTTATTATAATCATGGTTAAATGTCAAGTGGCAAAACAAATAATGTCATACATCGAATAGTTCATTACTATTATTATTATTCCCTTGGGTTGTGAGTGAAACATAGGGCTTCAACAACACATCTCCAGTTTGTTCTATTTGTCCTTAGTCTATCATCTCCTCCTCCCCACACGATCTTCTCCATGTCACCCTAAAACCGACTACCCACACGTCGCTTCCCACTGGGATTCCATTCCAGCTATGGTCTGCATTGCACTCGATGTCATTTGACGATCTCCTCAATGTTTGCCCTATCCATCTCCATTCAGTCCTACATATTTGTTGAGTAATCGGCTCTTGATTGGTTTGTTCCCAGCCAGAGTTTGTTGTTACTAATTCTTCCTGACTGGCAATTTGGTCTTCGGTACGGAGTCAGCGAAGGCAGCTGTTAACAAAAGTCTCTTACTTGTTGGAAATCCTTTTCAAGACGCACACGAGGATGTTAGATCTGAGTGACTGAGAATTATTCCGTCTACCTTAATTATATGTTTAATTTGAATAAATATTGTGTACAATTGGCTTCTGAACTATTTTGAAAAATTAAATCATCATTCGCTTCGCTACACCTGAGATGCTATATGTTTACGTGTTTTATTATTATTATTGTCTCCTTTGGTTCCTATAGGAACATAGGGCTTCAGCTTCACGTCTCCATTGCGTTCGGTTCTCCGCCAACGTTTCTGCATGGCTCTACGTCTGCCCACATGCTTTCAATTCCCTCTTTTCATGACCAC